CGGGGGCCCGCCAGAGTGGGTGGGTTTTCGAGCGCGCCCTTTTCACCTTGCTTCAAAGCTATTTTGGCTGTATTAGAGCATTGCGTGTGTTCATAGAACAATGGTCGCGCCTCCGTACAGGGGGCACGACCCGAAACGGATAGGCCAATATTGCCACGGTGCGCAATGTGTCCCTGGATCTATTTCTGTTGAGCAGGAAGGACGCCCAGATACGCCCTGGTTGGCCAACTACAAACATGGGGAAAAAACCCTTTTGCTGCCGATGGTGAAGTCAATTGAATCAATATTAAAGCTATTTGAAATTCACCAAGTGCACCTTGTTTAACACTGTCCTGCCTGACCTCACTTCAAATCAAGTCGCCTACCTGCACGAACAACCTCCCCCACAACTACAGAAACATGTTCCTAACTTACTAATGAATGAAAGCCAAAGCTTGCTGCAAGAGAGTTCGTTTTTTGCGCCACTGGCTCCCACATTCCCAGCCCCAAAGCTCCAGATCCAGACCAGCATCAAAACTTGCAATCCCAAGTATTCAGCTTGCGCTGAAACCTGAAACTGTTCATCCTTGCATGGCCTTCTGCAAAGCAAGGCTCAGAAAGCGGCGACCCCCTACAATAGTAGCATTACCCAGAATGATGGCTAAGCCCTGCAGCCACTGGCTCCCACATTCCCAACTCCAAACAAACCCAAACTTGACCAGCATCAAAGCTTGCAATCCCCACTCAACTTCAAGGAACTCCATTGGATCCTGCAACCCACATTGCTGAACACCCCCCCACACAGTTACAGCAGTGTTCTCCTAAGTTGGAAAAACAGGAGCATTAGGCCCAAATACTTGTATATTCGGCCTGTAAGACTCCAGAAGGGGTCGTCCTGGGGGCTGAGTTTTTTCAGATTCCTGGGGGCTGAGTTTTTCAGATTCCTGGGGGGCTGAGTTTTTTCAGGAAGAAACCCCAAAAAACAAAAAACCTAAAAACACAGCCCATCATCTGCATCTTCTAGTTCAGGGCCATGGGTCTGCTTTTTTGCTTTTGTTTTTTGATGCCTTTGCTCATAAACACCAAGAATCAAAAAAACACAGCCCATCATCTGCATCTGCTAGTTCAGGGCCATGGTTTTTTTTTGATTTTTGTTGTTTTTTTTTGTTTTTTTGGTGCCTTTGCTCATAAACACCAAGAAACCAAAAAAAACACAGCCCATCATCTGAAGACAGTACTTTGTTGATGCTTTCTTGATGCAAGCTTTCTTGATGCAAGACATCAATAATATGATGAGATGTGTATCAACAGAACATAAGCCTCTTCCAAGATATTCTGCAGGTAACTCCAGGTAACTGGAGATAATTTATCCCATCTCTCATTTCATCTTCTACAGGTAACAGCTCATCACAAGCAATTGCTTGTGGCTTGTGTCTACTTGAATCTATTCTGAACAGCTTTACTGTTGCAAGAGCTCTTCAGCAACACGAATAGCTGCAGAGAATCTTATTCCAAAGCTCTTATTCCAAAGCTGAGCAGCTTTATGCAGAGAATGGTATTTGCATCTGCAGATATCGTTGCAGGTGCTCATCTTTGCATCTTGTGCTTCTTGATCTCAAGCAACTAGATTGGAGCTGTGCTCCAATGGCTCCAGCTCATTATGCGATAAATATGTTTGTGTTAGCTGTCTTTTCTCAAGAGCGTATATTGAAAAATATTGAACATCCAACTGTAAAAGGAGATGGGTCTTGCAGCTGAAAGCTGCATAGATCAGTGATATCTTACCTTTCTTATGATTTCATATGCGTGGCAAGCTTTGCTTGCCATACTTACGTGTTTCAGAATTGCAACACAACAATAATATTTGTCCCAAACATACATCTGCTTGCAGATTGCTAAGCATACGTCTTCCAAAATATTGCATACGTATGCAACTTGTGTTGAAGATTTGTGCCAAACATACGTCTTCCAAAAGTTAGCACCCTGAGGTTTATAAACTTGGCATGCGTCAGCATGCCAATTATCCAAAAATAAGCTACAGACACGCGTTTGCTAAATATTTGTGTCCAACAATGATATCTGTGCAAAATAGTTCTCAACAGGCTGTCTTCTGTGCAGATTGAAGCTAGCTCATTTTCCAGGTCTGGATGCATCTGAGTCTTCATTGGATGGAAAAAGGAATCTGTGCTTGCATGTCATCAGCCAAAAAAACAAAAACGCACCCCAATAAATCTAAGAGGTCACGAGTCTTGATCGTATATTTTTTGGCATTTTTTAGTGTTTTTAATGGAAAAACTCAGCCCCCAAGAATCTGAAAAACTCAGCCCCCAGGAATCTGAAAAACTCAGCCCCCAGAAATCTGAAAAACTCAGCCCCCATGCCGACCCGCCCTCTAAGACTAAGGGGGGGGACCCTCTGATCAATCAAAAGCGGCGATTATATGTGCGTGTGCGTGTGCGTGCGCGTGCGCGTGCGCGTGTGCGTGTGCGTGTGCGTGTGTGCGCTTGCGTGCGTGCGTGTGCGCGGGCGTGCGGGCGTGCATGCGTGCGTGGGTGTGTGTGTGTGTGGGTGGATTGGTGGGTGGGAGTGCGCTCGGGTGTATGAAGAGCAATTACGACTTGTGGATCTACTTGGAACTGTCCAAGAGATCCTGCCGAGGCAAGCTGGGACAACAGATCTCCAAAAAAAAACCTGGCAAAGGTGCAGGCAACAACTTGGTGGTCTTCGTTTCTCGCCAATGGGAATACACAAGCCCAGCCAAAAGGGCTTGAAGGTTGCAGCTGCAACCAAACTGCAGCCAAAACTAAATGGCTGCATCCGCCTGGTGTCACACTCCTTGTTCATAATGGTGAAATCCCTAATCCAAATCTGGAATGGGACACATTTTAGACAACCCAGAAACACAAATTCCCTGAGGGTGTTGGGGCTTGGTATGGAGGTCCGGAGTTTTGCCAATCTCCTTCAATGGTGGCCCGGATTTCATCAGCCCCTTCATAGGCTCAAAAACAAACCTGGTCAAGAATCCGTCTGCTCACAGCACAGAATTCCCCCCGGCCTGTCCACCGACGGCGTGGGTCTGCCTGACACGCACTTCTCCGGGCAACGTTAGACCTTCTGCAGTTCTGTTGTTTTCCCTGTTGTTCCTTGATGTCTCTCGCCTCCCAGCAACATCACAAGCAGCACCTTGTAATCGTGCGCTTTCTCCCTTATTTATGTTCTTGTGGGACTCTTTTTACAGGGCCGTTTTGCGGCTTCGTGATCCCCGCAGAGGGTCGCCGAAAAACAAGAGGAAACAACGTCAGTTTTTTCATTTCGACCACGACCCTCTGCGAATAGCAAAATCCTCCGTGTTTCGACGTCGACCACGCCGGTGCAAATTGGGATTAGTCCCACCGCGCGTCCTTTAAACATAATAACCACCCTATGCTTCCTCGACTATCTTGTATATAGGGTTTGTTCAACCCCTATTTTGTCCTTTGACAACTCCTATTTTTTGACATTGGCTTTTGCGGTCCGTTTGGCTTGCTATTCTGCTTTTGAATATTACGCCTAGTATTGCAACTTCTTAAGGAGCCTTGGGAGCCACATATTTTTCTGCTAAACTAGTATTTTTCGGGTCGCTTTTGTGTCTGCGCAATGCACCTGCTGACAGTCTTGCGTAGACAGAGCCTTCATTCTAGCAAATTATAGCATTTGCCTCTGCAATTTGAGCAGGTGGCACGAGCAACAAGCATTTTCGTGCTTGTTCTTTTCCGTTTCAATTCTCACACAAGTCCAAAGACGACGTGGCCGTAGACAAACCGTAGACAAACCGTAGACAAACCGTAGACAGACCATTTTGTTGGCGCAGAACCACTATTTTTTGGCGTAGAACCACCATTTTTGGCATAGATCGGTAACACAAATCAACATCCTCATGCGGAATGGTTGCTGTGAAGGGTAGAGATTTTGGCTGTCCCGTGTTTTGGGTCAGGCTATGTGCGTGGGCCCGAGAAGGACAGAAATGGTCAGAAGAGGGTTCACCTTCACGCGCTGCATGGTCATGTTGAGAAACCAAGCAACTGCAACATAGAAGCCAACACTAGCCTTGAAACTGTGAAACATATATTGCCGCATTTGTGTGCGGCCTGAGCGTAAAGTATTTCGCAGCCCTTGTTCCAGTCCAAAACGGAGGCTGACGCTAGCCGTCCAAAAACAGTCTTTGTAAAAAAACGGGGTCACCATGTGTATATTTCTAAAACAGGCTTTTGATGCATAGGGACTGCAATCTCTCGTGCAAGTTTGCTAGTGCAAGGGCAATTGCGCACGAGCATGCTGACACGAGCGAACTCGCACAAACGAACTTGCACGAACAAACTCACACAAGCACACATGCGCGAGCAAGCTCGCACGAGCACGCCCGCAGAAGCACACTTCCGCGGGCGTGTTCGCACGAGCTCATCCGCGGGAGCGCACTCTGCTGTCCTCCGTGCGCTCGTGCGAGCTTGCTCGTGCAATTGTGCTGTTGCTTGTGTTCTCGTGCAAGTGCGCTCGCGCGAGTTTGCTTGTGGTAGTTTGCTCCTGCAGGTGCGCTCGTGCGAGTTAGCAGGCAACTTTTCCGGAAGAACCCTTCGCCATGCTTTCGGGAGTAAACAGAAAAGAAACAACCAAACAAAAACTGAATTGAATCTCGATCCCTTCTGCTTGTTAGAAACCCATGGTGCTCCTCAGTTGTTGTCCCAACTCAACGAGCATGGTCGATTTATGTCCAACATGTTGCTGCTGAAATCATTTCGGGGAAGAACAAATCCCTGTCAGGGGAAACTCGGCAAGGGCTGGCAACGAAAGCAGGTGCTAAATTCTCAGTGGTGGTACCTCAGGGCGCGTGGCACAGGCAGGCAGCAGGACCCAAATCGTGTCCCTGGCAAACAAGATCAAACAAGTGTAGTCTATCGCGAGCATGTGCGGCACAAACCGTGACACGCATTCTGTCTTTTTGTTGCATGGCAAGAGCTGCACATGATACCCGAGTCTGCCCTGCGTGCAAATAAGATCATCTTCCCAGGGTCCGAGCCCGCAAGTTCATATGAAACCACAAAGGGGGTCCCACAAAAGGACCCCCTTAAAACAGCAATGGACATGTTTTGTCATGGGAACATCTGCAGAAAAAGTAACTCACAAGTGTTCAAGGCGGAGATCTTGGAAGGTTGAAGGCCTGGTTTACAACCTTGCATGGTTGATATTCATTCTGGCAACTCACCCTGAATAAGCCCGCAAGCTCCCAATCACCAGGAGGCTCCCCATGAGAAAGGTTCCCACCAATTCCAACATACGGGGCTCCTTCGTTGCCCGGGTTCCCTAAATCTCAAGTTGTGATCTCTCCGGGGAGCCGCCCCCCTGGCCTCAGCTTCCATAGCTGAGCTCCATTGCCTACCTGGGCTTGGCGAGTGGGCGCCCCTCGTAAACGCGTCAAATCCACTTATGAAAAAAACCCTTTGAGCTCAGCTGATCCGTGTTTGCTCCCACCAACGCCTTTTGGCTGCCTTTACAGATTTCAAAGGACCAGGATCCTGCTGTTTGAACACATGTTGCCGACTCTGGTGCCGAGTGATTGTTTACTTGTGCGCCTTCCGTCTTGAAGTGGGTTACAAACCCAGTTGTCCAGTGACCCTGAGCATCTGTAGTGAGTCCTGAACCCAGTAAAGGAGGCGAGAAGGGTGGCATTAACCACTGGGTGTTGCTTGCCCGCTGGACGTGGATTCCAAATAGTTGTCGTCGCGTCCTTGCTTCTTGTTCTAAACACCCAGGAAGTCAGCAATTAGGCAGACTCTGCTCACCTGTCCTTGGCCTACCTGCGCAGTGGCCATCGGGGAAAAACGATTTGCGCTTTTCGCAGTGCTGCATGCGTAATGGAAACCCAACCAAACACTGGGCTGACTTGGCTTTCAACACCAGCAACTGGAAGCAAACCTGTAAACTTCAACCAGGACTCCAAAGGGCGATCCCTGTTCAAATGGGCATGTTGACCCTAAGGGGAGTACAAGGGTGTTGAACCGTTTCTGACAAGAAAGGCAGAACATGGAGGGTGCAGCTCTAGCACGTCTTGGTCGGTTGGCAACTTTGGTTGGCATTGTGCCATTAAGGCGGCTTGAAGTTGCATTCGTTCTGGTGCCACGGTTTCGGGTGTGTTGGCTTTGGCATGGATCTCGGCGGAGTTGTGCATGGCGTGCAGGCAGACTGGTGCTGGTGCAAATTGCCGGTCATGTTTGCTGATAAATGCCAACCCCCCTACATTCTGATATACGTTTCCTCTCGGGGGTTTCCACTTTGTCCATGTTTTCCCTCCTTTGGCATTCGCAATAACCATCAATGCACACTTATGACCTGAGGAGATGTACAGAATGGTTAATTGTGTTTCAGGTTGGCATCTAAACATGGACTCAAGGCCCCCGATGAATACGGCCAGACATGCACCATGTAGGGCAAACCTCCGCCTTTTTCGGCCCTGAAATTTAACGTGTGAGCCTTCATGAGCAGCTATGGTTCTAGGTTCTAGCTAGACTGAACCTTCCACAGCAATGAACCTTGACACAAACAGCCATGGATGTCCAAACAAGGGGTGACTAATGAACGTGGCTGGGGTGATTTCATCGGATCAAGAGCTTCTGAACTCAGGTGATGCTCCTTATTCTGGCTGAGCATGAAAGAGACAGGCCCGGCCCAAGATGAAACCAAAGTGGCCATAATGACTCCGATCCCGGATTGGCGCAGCAGTTACATGAAACAAACACCCCAAAGAAATCATGAGGGAATCCCTTCAAACCTTCATGGCATTGCTGCGCGTGTCATCAGCGATTTTGCGTTGGCCAGCGTTTGAGAAAACAAGGAGCCCCCCTTCTGCACTCAAGCCCGAAAACAGATCACCCAACTGCAAATAAAACTCCAAAGTTACATTTTGCCTGAAGCAAAATATGCAGAATCCATTAACCCATGATGCTTTGATGCTTTTGGGGGTGACCCCCCAGCACTGTAAAACCAACTATGTCCATTTGGAGCAGCAGAAACAAACCACTTTAGGGTTCCGTATCTCACTTCGTGCAATGGCCAAAGCACAAGCAAACCTGTTTGCGACGAAACTGGCCTTCCCAAGTGCAATTGAAGTCCAAACTAACATGGAACCTGACCGGCAGCTTCTGGAAGTCGTTAATTTTCCTTTTCAATGGACTTTCCCTGAACCTCAGGTTCCATGTCCCTTGGGAGATCTTTGGGAGGCAAAGTTCTCCGAAGCCGACGGAACGAGGCCTTGCAGCTCACCATGCACCTCAAAGGATCCGGCGGCTGAAACCGAACAAACGGAGACAAAGCGCGGCACATGGTGGCACTGGGCAGGTAGGCACCCCCCCATGAGCCTCTCGTTTGGTTCTCACATGTTCTCCCTAGCTTTTCTGGTCAGACTCAGAAAACATTTCGGCTCCCAAAGGGGGGTGGATCCGAAAGTTTCCTTCACAGTATGGTTGGAGCTCAGTTCAACCATACCTTTTCTTGCTGGTTCTCTGTGTCTGTTGGCACGCCCCCCTAGTGTGCTTCTCGGCAATGGGGTGGACATATTCCAGTACCATATGCCCCGCGTTCAGAATGGGCCGCTCCCTCTGACTTTGATCAAACAAACGACGGCCATCAGAATGATGGCCCAGGCTAAAGACCCCGCGAAATCAAGTCATGGCAAGCCTGTTCATGCGCAAAAACAAGTCCAAGCCCATACCGAGACATGCCAAGAAGGGTGCAGGCGGCACGGGCAGGTGTTGTCTCAGATTGATGCCCCAGGGAAAGTAAGCAAGCAATTGGATACGACTTGGGGCTGTGACGCACAAGAACTGCCAACTTTAAGACTCTCAGTGCTTGCGAGCAGTGACCCAGTGCTTGCAGCCCTAAATGCACATACCTGGGTAATCCGCTCCCCTATTTGTTAAATCCACCCCCATTCAAAATACAAAGATGCAACACAATCATCTCGCACCTCAGTGGCCAGCACATTTCCCCGAAAGAGGGACCCGTTAATTCTTCATAGCTATGTGTCACTTCCAATCAAACGCACGTATTTATTTGGGGGAGGGGTCTGGGGGGAACAGAATAAGGGCAGGATATTATGTCGCACTCTAAGTCCCAGGGACTGATTTAGGATCATCTTTCTCTCATTGCAAGCGTCCCGGACTCTGTGCTGAAGAGTTTCAGCATGCAGGAACGGAAGAAGAACACATCCTAATCCCCCGAGCTGTGGAAAGTCGAATCCAGTCGGAAAACCCGCTGTTTAAAACCTGCTTGTGCAATGCCTTATAACTTATAAATGCGATAGTGGACACTTCCCCCTGCAAGCCCAAATCCAACACAATTTTGTAGCGCAAATTGGACCGCCAACCTTCCGACAAGCATAAAAGGACATAGTTCAGCTTGAAATCCCGTCCCCAACTAGCAGGCATGTATCGAAAAAGGGATCCCTCATGGCTGTTTTGCCTTTCGGACCCCACACACGTGCTCGCTCCAGGGGTCTCAAACAAAACTAATTGATTTGGTTTTCCAAACTTCTTGCAACCCTCGGGGTTGTTGCTTTAGAGAATGGTTGTTTCTGAGTCTTCCGCCTGCACATTCAATTCAGAGCCCGCCTTCAGTCTTCACTCAGGGTTTGGTTTGGCCTACAAAACTAAGCACGGGTTTGGCACTCCCAGGGGTCTGATTGATCCATATTAGTGAACCTTGATATCCCACAAAACTATGGCAAGCAAGCAAACCCTGTCGCACGGTGCCTCTCTGGCGCGAACCCAGCAGCTAGCATTTTGAGCCAAACACAGCGAGTCCGTCATAACTTGGGTGCTCGGCCAAGCTACTCACTTCTTGGCAACCCATTCTCTGTTTGTGAGCACCCCTTAGTGGAGTCCCTGTTGCTGGTGGGTTGTAGCCCAGGTGGCCAACCAAACATCCAAGTGGTGGCTCGCCTCGGCTGAATCGCTGAGAGGGCTTTCCAGAGGAGAATCCCTCACTTCCTGGGTGTATTTTCCCAGCACAAGACATTGCAAAGTGTGACTCCTTTTACGCTGCCGCAATCTCACTACTGTATCTATATATATATATATTATTTATGAGTGGTAGTTGCAGCATCACCTCTAGACTCAACCCGCCCACCTACAAATGGCTAGGGTTGGCTTCCTCCGGATGGGAGGATCCCGAAAGTGGCCACTAGCGCTTGCACACGCCGATCTGTTCATTGCACTGGGTGCCAAATCGGAGGCCTGAAAAAGACACCCACACACACAGGCACGCACGCAAGCACGCACATTTATATACCCATTTCCCTTTCTGGTTTCCTTGCCGGGGAACTATGAGACGCTAACACAGTTGCAACTGGACTTGGAAATTAGAGGTGATCACCTCACAAATCCTTGGTGAATGCGACAAAAACAGCGGAGCAGCTTCAAAACTGCAGCTACCACTCCAAATCCTCTCCACCAAGCTTGGTCTTGGCCACGTTGCCCAACACAGTTAACAGCTGCGTTCACCAAAACCTTGGAATCGAACGTGTTTCTGACTGTACACCCTTGAACATGGTCATTGCAGGGTTACACACCCAAGCCAAGCATGAGTGTGTGTGTGTGCTTGTGTTGTTTCTCAGTTTTCGGATCGTTTTATCAACCCTGAAAAGGACAAACAAAAGTCAAGGGCGGACTCCAAACTGGGTGCAATCTGGCGGACACCGATGGGTTGCTTAGGGACCCCCAAGTGGTTCCTGGAACGAGTGCGCTTCTTCGTTGAATCCCCATATCCCTCCCGCGCAAAAATAACTCCTCTTTTTGCGTGGGCGCCTCGCGAGGTGCTCGGCCGCGCGCACTGCGAAGGCACGCGGGAAAACTGGACGGCTGCGGCAATAAGCTTTTGAAAGAGCCACGGCTCGCTACGCATCTGGAAACTTCTCACAATTCCCCTTTGCAAAAACTCAACTTGTTGCTGGTTCGTGGAAGCAAAGTCAACGAGGCAACCAACGAGCTTGGGAAGCATCCTTTGGACTTCTACTCGAGGAAGATGTACTTCCGAGCTTCCTGAGTTTGCAAAGTAAACAAAGGCAGTGATATTATCCAACAATGTTTCAGGTAACTTCTTAGGTTGAGGTTGCCCATAAGCCCCTCAGCTACCTTCTAATCAAAGGGCCCTTGCCCTTGAGGGCTCACTTCGGGCGAAACCTGCCGCTCATGGCTTCGCCTCCGCTTCTGCTTTCCTGGCGCGACAAACCAGCGACAGCCCTGCAGCCGTTGTGGGCTTCGGCGCTTTAAGCCATCAACGCAGCCAACCGGGTGGAAGTATGCACAAGTTAGTTTGGTGTAGTCACACCCTTTCTCACGCTTGAGTCAGACATGGACACAATTGTACCATCTGGGTGTGGCTCAAAATAGGGGAACCCCCGAAATGCTTGGGCTCCTTTGCGTTCCCCTTTGCACCAACCCCCAACTCAAAAACAAACAACAACAAAAACAAGAAGGACACACCAACGTTGCCAACGTCCACTTGGACCAACATGGCCAACATGGCCAACATGGCCAACATGGCCATTCCCCTTCCTTTTCGGCCCGGGCTCTCGCCTCTGCTCCTTGAGCTCCGCCAGCTCGTCGCCCGCCTTCTCGTAGGCCGCCAGCTGCGCCTCCGCCCAACCGAAAAGCCGAAAATTTCACGTGTCCAGGTTCCCCAAATGGCGGACATGGGAAACCTGAATCAAACGAATCGAGAGGCCACACAACTTCATCTTACAATGATGGGGGGTGGGAATTTGCCGAACGGCACTTGGGGTTGTGATGGGAGAAGCAGTTGGAGGGTTCCAACTCTGAGTTGGTGGGGTTTACTTGCTGTTTGCTTGCTGTTTTGCGTAGAGATGGGAACCCAGGATTAACAAAGACAGGCAACCACCTCCTGTTTTTTTCACAGGTCGCTTGATGCGGGCTTGATATCGTCTCTGTGTCAACTGCCTTTGAACATGTTCCTGAGGCTTAGGAGTAGGCCGCGCTGCATGCTCACCCTCGGGTACAGAACTCGCGTTCCCAGCCAAAGCAGAAACTGGCCAGGGGTGGCTAGGTGAGCATCATGCCAAGCATGAGACAGAACCGGCCAAGCAACGCAAACACATAAACAACATGTCGACCCCCACAGAAGTCAAATAGCGAATGCAAAATAGATGCAGGCCTCAGAAGGAGAAACACCATCTCCTGGTTCACAAAGCCCAACACATACACAAACATTTGCAGCTGGGTCCAACTCTATCATCTCCATACCACCTGCACCACCTGCGCCACAGATTCCTCTGAGTACTCCAAGTACTAGGTAATGCTCCTGGCGACCTTCCCAATTCACCAAAGCTACTGGGTCTGCGAGTTTTACAGCTGCAAAACCTGAAGGGCCTTCACTCAGTTCGCCGGAGCCATAAAAGGAAACGTATACACTGAAATGTTGGCCGAACCGAAAGGGTTGTCAAAAATATGGCCCCTTTTCGACCCTGCTACCCAAGGCGCCGCCTTGAGGGAGCGCCGAACTTGGTCAGGGAAATCAGGGCGGCGTTTAGACCCCTTCAAGAAACCTGGTTCACTGACCCAACCAAACCCAGCCGTCACTGACCCGCAACCACCCGGACGCTTGCCTGCCAGGTCGTGTCCTCCGAGCGCGCGCCGCGCTCCGAGCCGGTGCCGAAGTCCAAGGCCTAGCCCGGAGCGTTTTGTTGCCGGGGCCCCAAGAGACGTTTCCATTTGGAGCAAAACAAATCCGCAGATCCTCCAAAAAAATCGGAAAGCGATGCAATCCTGGAAAGTGATGGAGGGCGACGTTCATGGTGGGAAATGGCCATAAGTGATACCAAAGAAGGCACTTTCTAATATTGTCACTACAAGGGGAGCTCCGTTGGCATCACAGAAAGTGGGCCGAGTGCCGTGGACTTGTTCAAACCGCCAATGCCATCCTGTGTCTATAAAACGAACTTGTCCCAAGCCTGTTTTTGGGGTCTTCATGTTACCTTGCTGGATTCTGGGCCCCAAAAACAAAGTCGCGCAAAAAACAAAAACAAAGGGGGATCACATGTTTTCCGTTGTCAGTTACCCAGACCTGGAAATCAATGGTTCCCCCCGTTTGGTTTCTGTCTAAAAAACCAGCCCCGATGGGCTGTGTGCCAAACGGCCAACAAATACCAGGGCTTCTGCAAACTTCATGACGAATTTCCCAGCAGTTTTTCCATTCACCTAGTCTGGGCGATTAAGAATAACACAACAACAGGCAAAACCGTCGATTCAGTCTGGCTGGGCGCAAATGGGAAATGGCATCAAAAGAGGTGGGTGAAGCATAAATCTGCAATCGCAGCAAATCCGATTTTGAAGTAGAAGGTTTGAATCGGATCTCCAAGAAAGGAAAGGGCCTACACCATGAGGCCAAAGCCTGAAACCGACTTGAACCTTAACGACTCATTTCTTTGGTGAACTGAGATTGCAACAATCCAAGCAACCGACAAGAAAGGGACGCCCAAAAAAAAACAACCGAACTCTATGGGCCCCGTCGGGCCCTGGGTGAGCCCAACACTGGTGGAACGAACCCGCCTCAAGGTGCTACTGGCCGACGCGCCGCGCCAAGCAGAACCCTTTAGCCCTTTGCTGAATGAGCCCAACAGGGTTTGGGCGCTGGACATGGGTCACTCACATCCTGAGGTTGGTTCCCATGTTAGAAGTGCAGAACAAGCGAAGCCTCGCAATTTTCCCAAGGCCCTTCTTGTGAGCTTATTCGAAACATATGGAGGTCCCCCAATTCTGGCTCGTCTACCTGAACCATATGCGCAAGGGGCGCGCCTAGCAAACAAGGGCACGCTTCCGCCGACTGAAAGTTCCGACTTTTTGTGGCTGGCTTCAGTGCACTTCACCCGCTTGTTTCTCCAGTACCCTATACATCTTAGGCAGCACTCGCGTCGATGTCTGGTGCGAAACGGGGCCTTGATGGCCCACATCACCGGCTCGGGCAAGTTCAGGTCCTGCGGACCACAAACCTGGTCTCCCCGGCCCTTTGGGATCCTGGAACCTCAGGCCTCCTGGAAAAACGAACTGCTTACACATAACCAAAGGGAAAACAAATTTGAGACGGGTCGAAACGGAGATGTTTGAACTTTGCACCAAAAAAACTTTGGGCCCAGGGGACTAATCCCTGGGCCCACGGTGTCTCATCCAGAGTTGTCAAAGTGACTACAAAGTAAAGTCCGAACCTTTTCCATGGCCGCTCACTTTGGATTGATTAATTACTGTAATGGAAAACCATACTCATAGAAGGATTCCCCTCAAGAGGCTTGCAAAAGGGTCACGATCCCCGAGGTAGCCACTCATGGTAGTTGAAAGGGTAAAAATGTCGCGATTTTGGGCAGCAAGGATTTGTTTGAACACAAATGAAGAACAAAGCAACGGTGCAAAGCGGCGAACAGAACTCGCTTCCAACCAGCTTGTCCGACCCGCGGAATCCATCTGCGCCTGCCCGGCTCCTCTCTGGATCTTGCCATCTTCTGACAGCGGAGAGCTAAAACTCCACCTCGCCGCTCAGTTACCGAAGAGGGGGGTCTGGCTCAAACATAATTCCCATCCCTTCCGGCTGCTTCTAGGGACAATCAACAAACGTGTCGCTTGAGGTCCAACCTGCCGATCCATCCGAAGAAGGATAAAAAGTGGATCACCCAGCTGGGCGTTTAGTGGAGTTCCGAGGAAAAATATGGATGTGCCTTCTTTCTTCTTTTGAGGGGGCACCCTCTTTGGGGTGTTTGAAGTGGAAACCAAGGGGACAATAAAGCACCGGGGGGGGGGGCTGCACGTGTTTGAGACGAGCCCATCTCCAAAGCCACTCGAGGCCCCCCACGCGTAGAGCCCGGCCAGGGTGACCAAGGAGATCCAAAACGTCACTGCTGCGTCCTGCAGAGGCTCGAGGTTTGACAGGACTCCAGGGACAGTTTGGCCACGGCGCATCCCTCGAAAGTGTCCATTCGGCTTGATTCCTAGGAGGAAATAGGGGGACAAAGCCAATTGCACAGGGGAGAATCCACCAAGTGAGTCATCTTGGCCATGTTCTTTCAACGGACTCGTCGACGTCATGTCTCGATGGATTGTCAGAAGCTTGGACAAACCGCTTGGGACCAAAGACTCGATTCTTCAAATGGGGGATCTCTGATAATCTGTAACCCGTGCTGGGCTACAACAGCAACAAAGAAACCACCAATTGTGGGTTGACTTTGCGTATTACAATCAAGCCAGCTTCAGGGGAGGTGTTTTCTGTGGTCCCGCAGTTCCGTATATTCAGTCACCCAAAATATAATTGTGTGTTGCTCAAGGTTCTTCAGTTCCATTGATCGACCCACAGAAAGTAGCAGCAATGCCAAGATATTGTAGCACCTCAGGTGTTCATTAGAGTCGCCCTTTTGAAAACCCCTCACGGAGGCCTATGGGCGGCGTGGGAAACGCGTGGCTATTCACACCCAGTGCAAAAAGTGCTAGCTTGTGGTGGCTGGAAAGCCCACCTCCATGAAAGTGACGGGCCTAAGGCCACTGGCCGTTTTGGAAGCAAACCCATTGGGCTGTTCAAAATGGCAGGTGGGCTAACCTCTGGAACCTAGGTGCATTGGGCATTTCGTACTGAGGGTATTGTCTTCTTAACGCACGAAAAGGTCTCCGGATGCCCTTGAACAACCCAACCCATGTCTAAAGGGGAACCCAGAAAACTAAAGGAAACAAGGGTGCAACTGAACAAATGAGGCATAAGAGCAATGATTCGTTTCTAAAGATCCATCGGAACCCTCTTTGGGCTTGACGATTTGAAGGGAAACCCATTAAAAACAATCCAAGTTGCTGGTGTCATCAGCCAACTTTGCCAAATGCCATGCCATTGTCTTTGTGCCGAGTCCAAAGAAACTTTTGTGTGCCTGTGCGTCCAGTTGCGCACGAAACAGACAAAGTAAGTCCAAGGTTAAGACCTTCCAAGCTTGCTGGCGACCAACAAAAAATGTTTGGGGCTAAGCTGAGGAAACAATAAGCAAGGGTCCTGAAATGCTGCTTTACAATTTACAAGGGGATAACCTGAATCAAACGATGAGGCGGCTGTTTCAAAGTGGCCCAAGTGCATCGGTTAAGGGACCCTGATCCAACAAACAAACCAAACAGCGAAGAAAGAGCTTACAAACAAACAACACCTCCAATCAGCAAGCTGAACAACTCGGCCAGGTCAGAAAACGGCCGAGTCAGGCGGCCTTGAAGAATACAGGCCCGAAGAGGCAAGCCTCAGACTTTCCACTCACGAAGAGAAGCACCTCGAGAATCCTCGAGAGGGGCCCCTGAAATAGTATGGCCTACACATGAATATTACTCACACACACACACGCATGTATATATATATATAGATATATATATACATACTTATATAGCCCATATTGAACCCAGGTCATTTGACACCTGCGCTCGGCAAGCAAGACGTGTATGCATCTATTGAAAGTGATCAGAAGTTCTGACTCTAACACAAGCCCAATTTGCCCTGCGCCCGGACCCCCAATTTGACTTTGGTCACATTGTCATCTGCAGACCCTCCAAGGAGCCCCGCAAGCAACCATAGGTTACCCTAGTTTTCCTTCATGTTCCCGCATTTCTCCGCAATTGAGGGTGTCTTAAAGGATACGGCATCCAAACACCACCTGCTTTACAAAGGGGATCCCCTAAAATCAGCTGGTAACTTGTGTGACTGGCCCCAACTGGTCTTCTAGAGGTCCTGTAGTTTGGCCAGGTTCTTCCCTAATCTTCGGGGGGCCATTGCAAGCCGGCAAATCCGAGGCTGCGACGAAGGGGAGCACCTCAGCGAGTCTGGTCAGTCCAACAGCTGGCTGTGAATTTGGGAACCCTTTGCACGCCAGTTGGGGATTTCGGTCCGCCACGCTTGAGTGTGTCAGTGAAACTTCATAGCCAGCAAAAGGGTTCCCTATATTTCCAACCTAGAAGCAGCACTTCTTCCAAGGAAAACCTAAGCTGAAGTGGGCAAGCAAGGTGATGTTAAAAAAGGGCTTGAACCGACCAAAATGGAAATTGTTGTAGGGATCCCTTTGGAAGCTGGTGGCTCTCTACAAACCAACCGGCGTTCAAAATTTACAACACTGACAATAATTCAAACTAATAAGCAGTAAAATAAACAAAGAGAAAACCGCGCCGTGCTACGGAAACTCGACAACGCCCTCTAAAGTTGGATCCTTTTGGAGGCGGGTTGATTCTTTACAGAAGATGTGGAGCCACTCATTTAAGTTTGAAGAGATCACCTCGTTGCTTCACAAGGGCTCGATGGCCAAAGTGTCGAACCGGCTCACAAGTGCGGATTACTCAAAGGTCTTTCAAGTGGAAGGTGTAATTCCCCAAAAACGGCACAAGGGTCGAACAATGGCTCCTGAAAGGGACACGACCAAAGGAAACCTAAGCAATTTGTTATCCTTGAGGTTTGGTAATTTGAAGGCTGCATTGCCTCGAGCCGCAAACGAACCGCAGGAATCAGAGCAGAACTCCCATTCAGCGTTTCATAGCGGGATAGCTTCCCCTAGGTCTACCAAAAAAAACATGATACCAACACATGTTCTGCTGAATGAGTCTTGGTTTTCAGCTTTCATGTGTATCGCTCAAGCGGCTTTCAGCTGGCAATATCACTTGATCAAAGGGACAAGAGAAAATAGGGTATGCCTCTCGTATATGCAGGCACGGCTTTAGATAGCACGACTGCTGAGCCCACGGACCAGAAACGACAAGTCTAGCGCACGCTTCTCCTGGAGCATTGGGTTCTTTGGCCAGTCGATTGGCCCAGATGCTGGGCAACGATGGATGAGTTGTAAGTCATCATTTTTTTCAACCCAAGCCTTTCCCCGCCTTCCCAGGCCCTGCCTTTGTCTGAAAACTGCTTTGCCACTAAAACGAACTTCACGAAGTCCAGAAACTGCCGATCCGAAGATACGAAGAAAGACTGTGCGGGGGTGTCTGCAACTAGATATGTTGTGAACAGCTGGGAAGTCCCCACGCTGATGCTTAGCAGCATGACAAATGGTCCACGGAACGTTTAAGCATTCCTCCTTGCTCTACCCGAGAAGGCAGGAAACCAAGAGGAACCCCTTGGGCATCCCTTGGCCAACTTTCCACCCTGACGTCACCTTGAATTCCCCCCCCCACCCACCCACCAATATGGAACCAGACTGGAGGTTCCTGGAAGACGATTTTGTCCTGAGAGACCCCCAGTTTCATGTTAGGTGGGAGGTTTCAACAACCTGTTGCACCTGTCGGTTTACCTTTCTTGGCACCTGTTGGCTTCCCTTTACTGGAACAGGGGATGGTGCAAACGGGGTGTTTCCCAGGCAATGTTTGGCGGTTGTGAGTTTGTTTGGTTGGCGCACACCTCTCAGCCTCTCAGCAACATCCGGTGCTTCGTTGTGTTTTTCTTTGCCTGAAACTGCGTAAAATCCAAACCCCGTCACGGCATCCGCCTGTCTGTCTTAAAACTTTGCCCATGCAACCACGCAAACCTACCCATCACATCCATCAATTGCACCGGTCCTCGTATCCCATGCCGTAGGGCCCTCCCGGCTTCCGCGCTCTCAGCGCCGGCCTTGGGAACGCAAGGGCCCGACGTGAGGCGGGCAGGTCAACCCTTCCTGCCACATATCCGTGGGAGGCATCGGGATCAATCTGCTCTTGAAGCGTCTCCCTGTCAGGTACCACGTCAGTGGGAAGGAGGGCAAAAATGGAAAAACATCATTTCAGAGTGGCAAAGAGAAAAATTGGTCCAAGAACGGAGAATTGCAAGAGTCAGGAAGGGAACTGACGCCCGACCCCCCACCCGCCGGGGGTTCGCAAGGATTCTGAGAAGCTCTCCTTGTGCTGAGAGGGGGCCTCTAGCACCGTCAAGGGGCGATGATCTATAGCGAGGCCTCGTGCGAGTTGAAGTGATTGTAGGGGTTCTCTGGTTCGCAAAGTCAGCCTTTCTTGACAAGAATCAGTTTGAACATTCCATCCCCCCAAATTTGCCCAGGCCAGGTAGAAAAGGAAGTCTCGTTGGGATATATCATTAAAGTGTAGAATCAGCCAGGCAAAAGCGGAAACAAGGGTGCTACAAACACCCGGGCACCCACTGCACCTCCAGAGGTTCTGGTGCACTTGCCTGTAATTTGACTTATGTTATGAAGGGAAACCCGCAAACAAGAAACAAAGAACACCCGTCTGGGCACCGATCAACATTCCTACGAAGCGCACTGGGTGCCAGCGCACGGTGAAGAGCCAAAGGCCCCAAACCCCGAAGAGCTTCAGCCTCAAAGACACATCCGGGACCCAACTCGCTTTTTGGAGTCTTTTCAATCGGTGGATGGACCTACAAATTGCATTCCAGGGTCACTCCCCTCCCCAGTTCCAGTTTAGAATGGTCTGAGGCTCCATGTTAACCTGACTGGGAGTAGGGCTGTTTTGCCAGGCTGGGTCACCAAAACAACCACTTCTGACCAAAGCGGCAGAACGCGATGAGCCTCCGTGAAGATCACCTCTTCTGGGGGGACGTGACAAATTTAGCGGGTCCCCTGGTGATTGCCCCCCATGTCCCTTCCAAATGAACCATAGACTACAGGCTGTATACAGGCAATTGATTTGGAGCAAACTCATCTACAGCTGGGCAAGCAGCAAACACTGACGTGTCGCTGAAAAAGCATCTGCAGGCGTCCCAGAGCCGAGGTCAACACAACGGGCTGTCTGTGTCCTCTCCTTTGCTTGACAAGCCCCACGGAACGTCAAGCGCAGCATTCCTCCTGCCGCTCCCTTTCTTATAGGGAAACCAAACCCTCCAGAAAGCTTGGCTTAGAGCGTTCTTCAATGGGGGTTGTTAGAATGGTTCTGAGAGCCTTTCCGGGGTAAGGGGGCCTAATTCTGTCCCGCCTTATCTCAACTTTGGTGAGTGTCGGCAATGAAGTGCTCTGGAAAGGGTGCTTTTGCACCACCACTGGTCACAAGGACTGGGAAAATAAAAATCATGCAATCATAATGCTCACTTACCCCCCCTCGTGTCATCCAAGCATGGCTTCATTGAGCGGCCGCGCGCCAGCATTGAGCCTGGCCGGTTTAAGCAAACCGAAACTGCAGCGGACAAATTTGTAACCAGCCCAAAGCCTCATAACGGACGGCGCAGTATTCCAGTGGCTACCAGGAACGGTAGGAAAAGGAAAGGGATGATTCGCTTTTGGGGCTGCAAATCTAATCCACCGGACAGAAAGGAACAAAGGTTGGACTGCACGAACACCTGGGTGTCTCTCTCCCTCTCTCTCTCTCACTCGATATATGTGCATCTAGATGTGTAGACACTACTATGTGATTGGCATATAGTATGTCTGTAATTGCATACATACTAAACACACCAATTTCCCTTGCGGTATACTTCAGTTGGTTGAGCTGGCAGCCTCCCTCAGGGGTAAACGATATCAAATAATTTGGGGCCAACCCTTTCTTAGGTGCTGGCATTGCAGGGTGGATAATGATGAAATTCAGTCAGCGGGCTTAAGGAGAAGGTGTATCGAGAAGGTGTATCTTGATCGCGGGCAGCTTGAACTAGCTATTGAAGTTTCCATGCGAAGGGGAAAGATAACGAATTCCAGGGTGTCCATTGGCTCAGAACTACTGCTTTGCAAACGAAAGAATGGGGTACATGCCCTTTTTGCGGACACATCACTGCTTTTCTCGGGGGCAGTGCTTTTTTTGGATGGGTACAAACCACTTTGGACTTGTTTCAGGCATCGGGGTGGTCTTTCCCCAACGGCTTACGCTTTTCGGGGGGCATGGAGGATGGAGTCCCCAAAACAGGTAGGATCCTTTGGTTCCATGTAAGAACGCGAATGCTTGTATAAGAGCACAGGTGCTCGTAAAGCAACTGTGTTTGACGGTTGTGCAAATGCAATACTTGATTCTCCTCAGGTGCCCCCAGGTCGACACCACTTTCAGTTTCAGCCCGTATTAAAAACTGCCCCTGGCCTGGGTGGATTCGAGAGGGACCCACTCCCAACAAGCCAACCAAAAGGCCACATCGAGAGTTTGTCCTTCATGCGACTTGGGGGCACAAGGACAAACGCTGTAAATGGGTTGTTCCATCTTTCGAAAGCCCTCAATTATCTACAATGGGTCCCTGTTGAAGAAAGCGCAGTAAATAGCATACTGTTCATGCTCAGGGAACTCTCAGGGAAGCTGGGTGAAACAAAAAGGCCCAGCGAAAACAAGTTAGCTAATAGGGGCTAAGCAATTCTACATTATTATGATCTGACTTTGCGTTGCTTCAAATTTCAAAGTGCCCGGCAGCCCCATTGAAAGTGTTTAGGCATGTATAGCTGCGACTTGCTGCAAAAAACGGGTCGTGCAGCGCCTGCTTTGTTGATGCCCGCCCAGGTGAGGTCTGGAATCTGAGCCAAGGTTGAGGTTGACCGGTTGATTCCTTGGGTCTCCTCCAAAAATACGTGATTTTGCGGTAGACCGAACATGAACCGGTGTACCCTAGATTTGGCCCCGGCTACATCTAGTTCAGGTAAGACTTGAACATGCCAACACAAATAATATATATATATATATGTCTGCGTATTATGCTGTAAATACAATGTTTATGATAATGTACAAATTATATCTGTACATGAACATGCATACACATCAAAGGACATGCATGATCGTACCAACCACGACTCCAACATTCGGAAGAGCATGTTGAATGCCCTGACTGTCGATTTCACCTTTCTGCACTCGTTTGAGTTGTGGAACGGCATCGAACACGAGCCCTAGACACACATTGCGAGCGTGGCGCAAGGAAATCCCTGTAATTCTTATTGCTTGGTGCCTGGCTTACTTGCAACTGTTACTGTGCTGCTGAAGACACTATTTGCTAGCATCGAAGCAGGCCATGGATTCATGGATCAATTATTTATGGCTGCCATTCACTGAGTGGTTTGCATCCACAATATGCAGTTGTCAATCCATGTAGCATAACCTTCCGGGAAGAGGGCTTCTACGCAACAGAACACTCTGCCCCTTCATGGTCAAACAACAAAGGCTCAACCAAGGGGTCAAACGGTGAGCAATGGGAAATCGGCCCGGAACAAACATGATAAATTAACATCCAGAAGTCACAATCTCTTCTTGCCCAAGTGGTGCATCTTAATGGATGCGGCAAATGTCACGGAATCCCAACTTGTGTTTGTTGGCTGCTGTAGGAGGTGTCCACTGCTCCGAACCCTTGACATGCGCTGCATGCAGTGTTCACGAAGATTTTGCAAATCCTAGCTAGACTCTATACATCAACTGTGTCAACTCAAACGTTCCTTTCCATCCAAGTCTTCCCCCAAAGCCCTTTATTGGAGCCTTGAGCAACCAAACATTGCTCCTATCTATGCGGGTGCCCCTGAAAAAGCTGCGCTGAGCAAAGCAAGATAGGTGACACCCACGCTGCAACATGCTAGCAAGGTGCCCATGGAAAGGCGTCGTAGCACATCGCCCCGAAGGCAAAGATTGACCTCCGCATGAGGCTTTCTATCGCTTTGATCCGATCTTGAAGAACTGGAGAAGGTTTGGAGGCTGGTTTAAAGATAAACTCCCCCTATTTTGACGCGTACCCAAAAAGAGCGCGGATTAGCGGCTTGGGCGGTTGGATCCCAAGATGCCTGCCAGGTCGTCAACTGATTTGATATGTTTCATGTGTACAAGAGCTGGTCACGATCAAAACGGTGTCCAGAAAGCTGGGGTGGATGGGTGGATCCAGTGGACAACTAAAAATGGCTGTTCTCAAGTTCGATTCGCTTGAGCAGACTGTCCTCAACAAGCCCGGGTGCGAAACACAGGGTGCGGAGCCAGTTCGCGAGCGATTTGTGGGGTCCCTCCCAAATCAGCTTCCCTCTAATTGGTGGTTTGGATTGGTGGTTTGGTGGTTGGGTGGTACCCTCTGCAAGAACCAGAGGGTCAAATCCAAATCCAAACCACCAATCACGGGTTACCTGCTCTTTGCTACCATAAGTCTGCCTAGGCCTGCCTGGCGCTATGAACTTGGCCAAATGCCAAGGGTTCCCTAAAGAAAGCCGACCAAAGGATCCATGCTCACCGTTCGCGCAGCTGCAAGCAAAAGGCTGCAAGAGGGGCTCTCGAGCTGAGGTGTGCGCAACACCGCCTGCACCAAAAACCTCGGGTTCCCATGGGGTTCACGTGTGTTCCTCGCAAGGTTCCTCTGGGTGTGCCCAAGGGTTTCCACGTGTTTCCTTTGAGTTTCCCCTTGTTCCGTGAGTATAGATGCAAAGAAATATACATACATATAACATATATATATATATATACCTGGACCCTCAAAAAGGAACTTTTTTTTGCTCATTACGTTTTTTTTTGCTCATTTTGCCAATTGAGCGGAATTTCCGAAATCTACGCGGAAACTGCAAATTTCATGTTCCGCACCCATTTTGTGGCAAATCCTGCAAATTTGGCCACCAGAAATGCGCGGAAATCGGCGGAAAATGCGCGGAAATCGGCGGAAAATGCGCGGAAATCGGCGGAAAGCCCAAAACCAACTTGTTTTGAACATGGCTGGTCGAACCGAAATGTGTGTTTTTTGGGTAAATGAGCGTGTTTTCCAACAATGCGCGTTTTTTTTGCTTTTTAAGGAAAATGTTGGGAAATTGTTCTCAAAGAAGATCTAGGTATATATATATATACATCCATACTGGGGTGCGCATAAATATAAGTATCTATATATATATATATGTATGTTGTATATCGTGACTTTATACCCGCTGTTTCCTTAGGGTGTATTGGCTTGTGGTGGTGGAATCCACGTCCGACCCGAGCAAGTCGCTGCGAGAAAAAACAAGTCACAGCAGCAACCCAGCAGTACCTCGCCAACTTGATCGCAGGAAGCCTTCTGGGACATGGTCAGAACCCCGAAAATGGTGAGATAAACCTAGGGTTCAGCCTCATCACCAAACTGACCCTTGACGTAGGGGAAGGGTAGGTGGGGAGCCCCCCCACCCCCAAAAACATGTTTTTCAACACAAAGGGTGACACGGAGCCAATAAATGGAATTCCAGGAGTCACCCGTCGCCTTCATGAGATGTGCATCAGCGCTTCGTGGACCTCCTAATGCATCCAGAAAGCTCGAGCTTCAAGTTGTTACTCATGACCAGCTTCATCTCGTTGACGATCTGCGGCGCGATCTCTCTGACTTTCAAGATCGGGTTGGCAAGAGGCACACGCTATGAAGCAGGCGGAACCTCTTTGTTCGCTTGCCTCATGGAGCCATGATCAGCAAGATCAGCAAGGCCATAATCTGGGATAACGGGGGTGCTGGTTTACATTTAAGCCTTCCTTTGACCAAAGCTCTGCGTGTGGCTGACGCAGCGGAAGGATGCCCACAAACCAACCATACACGACCGTTTGGGGATGTTCTCGGGGCAGTGTTTTCAGGGAGCCTTCTTTCCCGAAAGCAGCCAGCAACCTGGCGGACCTGAGAGCAGAAGGCAAGGCTGGCACCGTTCGGGTTGAGATGAGTCAGTTCAGCTGTAAGCCAGAAGCTTCAAGCGTCTCTTTCTCTCTCTCCTCATCGACGTGGGGCAATTTGCAAGTCACCCTGGACCCTAAGAAACAACATGTGCCCCTCATCTGTCTGGAGTTGGCCATTGACCCAACTTCATGTGTCTAATCCTGCGGTGCGCCTTCATCTGCTTTTCCTCGATCTTGTCCTCGCGTTCAGGTGAACCAACCGGGGCCATGACCCTAGTGAAGTTAAACCCCTGGTGAAGTTAAGCATGTGTGTGTGTGTGCGGAGTGACAGAATGCCCTGTCACCACCCTTTCGGTTTCTCAGCAGGGGGGTCACCCGCAGTCACGACCGGTGACCCAACGAAGAGGGTCGTGACCTGCGCTGATATCTGACCTGATCAGTCAGACGTACCTGCCGAGATGGTTGTGTTGTTCTGAATGTCCTTTTGGTCCCCCCCTGAACTGCCGTTGCTTCTGTGTGTCCCTGTTAAAGTAACTACAGGGAAGCCAAGCGTTATGCGAGTCGAACCTCATCATACTCGAGACTTATCAGTTGTACTCGAGACTCATCAATTGTACTCGAAAGATTAGCACTCTCCATTTGGAGTTTAAGTGTGTACACCCCATTCGTGGGGAATCCTCGGGTGTACCCATTGTGTGACCCCGGGCCGGCTCTGTCGGAAAATTTGACCTCAACGTGCTTATCATAGAACAGCGGAATTTCACATTTAACCAGGAACGAGGTTTCACTAAAGGGAAGACAGCGGTCAGATCATAGAGACGTCTCACCACTGATGTTTGCGTTTGCTTGCCATTTGTTGGATTCGTTGATACCTTGCCGTTGCATGGATTTGCTTGTTGTCTGATACGTGTCTCTCAAGATGGAAGCGTGAAGATTGAGAGTCGATTGTGTAACCATGTCTCGACGTGATGATCGTGATAGATCCAGGACTCGGCGCAGACGTGATCGGAGTACTTCTCCTCAGGCTCGTAAAGCACACCGACGTGAACACAATGACCACCACGTCTCGGAAGGCATGGATTGGAACAACCTGGTATCTTGGCAACACAATTCCGGCTACAACTCTGCCAACAATTTCCCGATGATGCCCACCAATTTTCAATCGACTCATAGTCCCACACAGCAATTCCAACATCCAGCAATCAACTACATGATGCCGATCCCTCCAGACCCCACGCCAACGAAGTTCATGCCACCCGTGATGCCACCACCGGTCACTACCCCGCAACCTACACCGCCACCTGGACCTCCTGCGGCTCTACCGGTTCGTCCTCAGAAAGCCTGGCTTACACCATCGCCTGACTGGACACCTGGAGAGGGCATGTTTGATGTCAATCAGCTCTACAACTTCAGCCTGCCCATGACCGTTGCCAACACTCCGCATGGCAACCTGCGCGACATGTCAGGCATGGATATTCGTGACGTTCGCCTGGTTCAGGTTATTCATGGGGGCCTCACCAACTGGCTGCTCCGACCGTTCGCTCACGGCAGATTCGTGACATGGGAAGGCTTTCGCACTCGCACCGAGGCCTTACTTTGGAGTACCTGTTCCAAACTACTACGACGATCACAGTCGATCAACCTGCTCACCCTGGAAAAGGACCTTGCCAACTCGCTGGGTCTCAACATCGATGACTTCAATCAGCGGATCAAGGTTCATGACCATTTGGCCAGCTTGGTACTTCAATTTCTTCAGCAACACCACGCTTCTCTCACACCTTCCACCCAGACAGATGACATGGTCAAGAAGTACAGTGATCTAAATCGTGCGCATGAGCTGCTCCAGGCTCAGTATTCAGCATCGCTGCGCACTTCGACCTCTCCCACGATGGCAAGCCAGAAAGATGATGCAGAGTTGGTTACACCGCCACCGGTCAACCACACACAATCCTCGTCACCTGCCAGCTCCCTCCCTACAGTCAGCGCAGCGGCCCTTGATGGCAAGTCGTTTGATAGCGCGGTGCAACCCCGGATCATTCAGTCTCTTCACGGAGTGTCTTCACCGCCGTCCAAGCCGGCGGCGTCACAATTGCTCACCATGCACAGCACGCCGGAAGAAGTTGTCAAGTACTACACATGGACCAGTGACCAGCCACGCCTTTATCTCAAGCAATCGCCCACAACCACAACTTTGACGTCACTGGTCAAGTGGGCCAATCACCCGTCCCGGCTCAACGGCAACAAGTCATTAGATTCCATGGCGACGCAGCTCCTTCAAGCGCGTCAACGCATGCCGAAAGGCGACGCACCTACTCTCGGGGCGATGGCGGCTTCGTGGGGACTGGAGCCCGGCTATCTCACCAAGCTCACTGAGAAGGCATTGAGTCACCTCATCGTGACCGCTCGCTTACTCAGCGGATGAGCAGGCATCTTAACGACCTTCGTTCTCTTATGAGCCCGGAGCGGCAACCGTGTCACGGATGAGTCAAGGTTAAAACTCGTCCGTCATCTTTTTGCGTTGCATCAGTTTGATCTTGTGCTTGGTTGTGCTTGCATTGCCTTGTGCGTGATTGTCTGTGCAGCTTGTATCCATGTCGCCGCCTTATGGTAGATTTCATTGGTTGCATTTTCACCATGTTGGATGAGCTTCGCCGCTGTGGAATCTATGATGATGTTGCACAATGGCAGTCTCTGGACAACTTTTTACACTCGTTGACCATGTTCTCTACGTGCTGGCAATACTGCTTCCCTGGACTACCACCACCGTCGATACCAGCTGATGAGTACGAATCAATCACACAACTACCGTGGTTGGGCCTCATTCTGGAAGTCTTAGTTGTGGTCCGGATTGCCCTTCAGATTCCGAATCACGCTATGTCACACTCTCAACACACTGTGGCCAACAGGTATGAGATTCATAGATGTCGGTGCACTGCCTATTTATTGATCAGTTTCTTACAACGTCTCATTTCCCAAGATCATGGCTACTTTCCGCCGTTCTTTGAAGTCCTTCACTTCTACAAGGCTTCTCTCTTGTGTGAAATCATGCACTCCACTTTTGCCGACACGCGACATCTTCGCTCATTGCGGGCACGATTTCCGGACCTCTATGACTTCATTCACGATCCAGGTCATCATCAACAACCGTGCGTCTACATCCGACTTTCCCCATGGCACACACCTTACTACGTTGGTGCGACTGATCAGGATGTTCTACGACGTGAACACTCACGCAGTCGCAAATTTCTACAACTACTTCGGGGACGTCATGCCTTCTTCGAACCCGCGCTTCACTACTGGAAGCGATCCAATACTTACTGGCTCTTCTGTGCTGTTCCGGTTGAGATCAAACTTCCCGTTTCCTCGGTTTGGGTCCAGGAAAGCAAATGGCAATACCTGCTACGCCCGCATTTGAATGCACCCTGGGTACACAGACTTCTGCGAAAGGTGGGCTTCCGGGAACACCTCGTTGATTTTCGACGTCACTCGTTGTCGTCTCCCACTTCCCTCGGCTTGCACAAACGCTTTCGACGACGACTACATCCGGATCTTCAACGGCAACTACGTCCCGACATGCTGGATGACATTCAGGCCCATTACTCTATTCTCTATCAGCTGGGATCCAATACAGGTGCATCGTTCCAAGCCATGCGTGACCTTCTGTCGGCAGCTTTCCCTCCTACTCAGCTTTACTACTTTCTGCGGCTCTCCGTCTTTGTCAACGAGCCCTTCCGCTCCAAGGCGCAGAAACTCCTCGCCCAGGTGTTACGCAAACGACAGCTACAATCACCCACCACTTTGACACAACTACTCCTACCGCCTCTACATGTCCGGAATTGGAAAGCTCTACTTGGCACATGGTTACAAAGCTGGATTGCTTCTCATCGTGATTTGTTTCCCTCCCTTTTCCTTCCAAAGATCCGGGTGGTGGAAACTCGCAGTGCCACGTTGGGCGACAAGATCTACAACTACCGCACATGGCAGCGCAGATGGACTCCTGAAACATCTTTTCCGTGTCGCTGTTTGGACATCGATGATCACCATATACACCGAGCACATGGACATGCTGTAATGGTTGATGAGTTCTCACGCATCAATGCGGACATTGACATGGAAATCATGGCCGCGTCAATGAAGGATCAGTATTTCGGTGATGTCGACTTGTTACATCAACGTTTCACTACGCAACTTCGCAAACTTGCTCGTCGCTGGCATGTGCATGGTTCCAGTCTTCTTGTTGATCTGCAGCCGGTTTTGACTCAGTTGATGGACACTCATCGAGCTAACCTTCAAGATCGTGCTTATTGGTCATCGACATCGTTGCAGCGCACCGTGGCTTCTCTGTCATCGTGGGTTGTAATCCCCGCGGATCATTTCCCCTCCCGCGCACATGTGATTTGTCCGTCCCTGTTTGCCATACTGATGCGGAAGACCTTTTGCTCGGGAGATGTCTTTTCGCTATGCCGTGAATCCGCAGCATCTTTTCGCTCTGAAGTGGTGACTACGGTACCTTCCCTCCTACGTCAGCGATATGCATGGGGACTTCGACTTCAAGCACCGTTGCCCACAGCTCGCATCCTTCCAAAGCCGACCAAGGACTGGCAGAAAGCACGACCCATCATTTCATTCTTTCGCACGTGGGCAGCTCCCTTCCTCACGGTCTTCGGCGCCCTCATATTTGAACTTACCAAAGCTACTTTTCCCGACATTGCAGGTCAACTTTCAGTACAAGAACTTGTCCAGCAGCTGTGGGAGTCGCTGTCAAAGGCAGATCCCGATGAATACATCCACCTGGTGTCACAAGACCTGTCAGGCTTCTTCACGTCCATTCCTACGGAACGCTTCCACCAGGCACTACAGGTGCTTCTCCATCGGTACGATCAAGTTGTTGGCCTTCGCAGATCCTCTCAATGGTCAGTGTTCGAAGTAAAGTCTGATCATCGACGCCGTATGTTCAAAGGAAAATGGCGCCGTCAAACAAAGATCCCTCGAACTTTTCATGAACAAGATCTCCGGCACCTTCTGGACTTTGTCATTGACAACAGTCACTTCGAGATCAACGGATACTTGTTCCGCCAAGAACGGGGAGTCGCTATGGGATCACCAGCCGCGCCACCGCTCTGCAATCTGGTTGCCACGGTTGAGGATTTCTTCTGGCACCAGACAATGTGTTCTCTGCGTTTTCGCATGCCCGATATCGGTGTGATCTGGCATGAGCGCTACGTCGACAATCGTTTCA